TAACCTTCATCTTGTACATAAGAATTGAAAAGCAACAACCATACTTTTTCAAGACAACTCAAGTGAAAGAACAAATATCCTGATGACAGTCTGCCTCAAGCACAATTCTTCAAGGAAATGATCCACATACGATCAGTGTCCCCATCAGACTCAAACCAAGAGAAGAGGTAGTCACGACTATCAACAAGATCACTTATATTCAGCTTTGAAAAACTATAAAAGTTTTAAAGATGTCAGCATGAATGTCCTATACATGTTTCCTTGACTTCCATATGCACAAAATCTGGTAGAGATGTCTTCACACCCCTTCAGCATGAAACATGCCACAAGCTCCTTCAAATGATAACCAGTCTCCTATCTCCAGATCAGAAATAAACTAACCTAAAGACAACTCACCAAAGTTGATGGTGTCTTGATCTTCATCTTCACCAACATACATATACAAGACAAAGTTCTTGGATAGAGGCTTCCTAGATTACAGACCAAAAGACTCTTTAAGACCAATATGAAAAAGATTCCCAAAACTATTGATAAACATACATTTTTTATCCTCTATAACATATGCTACATCTCTCATTTGTCCGAGAAGTTCACTCCTTGGATCAACAAGATTCTGCACACACTCTTCAGAAGTGATGTTTCAACATCTGGTTGAACATCAAATCCTTTTTCCATGAACAAGTTATTAGATCTTGAGTTCTTGCTCTATCTGAAGCTGCACCTTCAGGAGTGGCCCTTTTGACATCACCAATCAAAAGGATAATCAATCAGATGCTTGTAAAGGCCACAAATACCAATTGATTTTAAATTTCCAATTTTGTATTCTTTAGTCACAAAATGTCATAAGAAACCCCTCCTTATTCAATCAACAACTAAGAGAGAGATATTCAAGGCATAAATATTCTTTAGAATATCATCTTCTATCCTGAACAGATTCAACAATCACTTTATGAGTGAACTTGAGGAAAGAACTCAAATAACTTGGGCTACTTCAGTCATGACATAGAGAGTTTATCAAAACCAAAGATAATGAGTTGGATACACAAGACCTTAACTCAACCTTTTTCCTTCTATTACCCTTCATGCTACCTGATTGAAACTATCTTCCAAGCAACATAAAAAGGTCCTTCAGAAGAATCCAGATCACAGTGCTATCTCCTGTCTATTACTCATAGCTAGAGGTAATAAGAACAACCATATAAACTAACTTCATATTCAACATGCACCAAGTAAGATGTCAGAACATATTATAAGGCACCATGTGTAACAATAACATCATTAGCAGCAGCGGACGAATCTTCACAGAGCACTCAATAAACCATCAGTAATTGTCAGGCCAGATTCAGAAAACTATCCTTCTAGCTTCCAATCTTCCTAGATCACAGCAGTAATGGATGGTATGATCACACAATCTCCTTCCTTGTTCAAAAGACCAGAAAGTATCTTTCTTAGAACTCATCCAGAAATAGAACAGGATGTATGCTCTGATACCAATTGAAATTCTGGTATACAGATCTCAGATATCCTAAGAGATGTCGGGACATTAATCTTTATATAACTGAACAAGGCCAAAACAAGAACATCTAATTACTACAAATACATTATAGTGTCATGACAGATGTTTCAACATCTATCAAGACATATATTTTAGAATAAAAGAGCAGACTGAATTTAACATAACAGAAAGATAAAGAACACCAAGATATGATGGCCCAGCTCGGTGGACAACAACACCTACATATGAGGGCTACCAAGCCAATAATGAATCCACTATTAGTAGTATTAATTTAGAGCTAAACTCCCCCGTTTAAAACTCCTCACTTAATCCCTACCCAATACATTTCTATCTATAAATCACCATCTAGATAAGAGAACCTCATCTCAATTTCTAAATCACCTCAGTGATACCTAATAGTCATAACCTTCGGTGACTGTATCAAATTATTCAATTGAAAGATACCACTCTCAATACAATATTCAGTCAAGACTCTTTACTAACAATCATGCATGGATTTGCTTAAAAGCTTCATCCAAGAACAATATACAATTCACTACCTATAGATTTTTGAATATGTAAAATTATGTCTACCACAGTGTATCAACTGTTACAAAGGGTGACTTACAACATAAGAAAGTACACGGCCCTCAAAACCCTAAACCCTTATAATTACCTTACAAGAATTCGTTACAAGGTCTACTCTCTTATGATCTATATATATACCCTAGGTCCTGGTCTTCCTTTTATAACCTTTAGCAGTCCATGGGCTTCGAAGTCTCTGTCCAATCTTTCCTTGATCCACGTTCTGATTGTACCTTAAATCTTGGAACATATCTGCAACAAATATACTGCACCAGACCAAGATGTCGAGTCTGCAATACTAGGACATCTTGTATGACATGTTGTTCTTTACATATTTCTTCTTGTTGGAACATCTTATGCAGCATCATGTTTTACCAAAATTTAGTCAAATTTTTGGAGCCTTTAATTTTAAATCATGACTGCAGAACTTAAGATTCTAAATGATGATTTCTTCATCAGGATTCTGACTACCTGCTCTCGAAACTTCGCAGGATATAAAGTTGAGTTGTGAGTTCGATTCAGAGTGGGGACCGTGACGAGCATGAGTCAAGTTATTTGCTGCATTATTTTGAATAAATGTGATTGAATGATTGTGCTGTGAGTGAGGTGTGAATACATGACGAGGGTGTATTTTATGATTATGTGGATAATTGAGTAGACGTGTGAATCTATCTTGAATGTTTATTCACTGTATATTATTTGAATGTATTATAACCCTTTTTGTGTAGGTACATGAATAGGAGCTTCAGACTTAGGTCAGTGTTGTGCCTCTTTAGTTGCTTGTCGTTCAAGTATATAGTGGAGTCTCTCTAATAAGTAACACGAGGGGAACTTGTTGTCCTCTATTTTTTTTTTGCATATCTTCATGTTTGTTTTTATTCTACGATGAACCATTTTTCGAACTAATAATTTTATTGAGGCTTTTATGTTAAGTGTTTTGTGATTTATCTGCTTATTAAACAAGTTATTTTTCATTATTATGTGATTCGAAATGGTTTGAATTGTGCAAGTAATATCTTACTTGGTGAATATTTATATTTTTATACATGTTTCACTATTTAATTGTCGAGTCGGGAAGTAGGGTGTTACATCAACCATGCGTTGAACCATGTATAATTGCAAATCGAGATTAAAGCACTACAAATGCTTCCTACACATCATTTCTAGTTGATTTTTGATGTTGTGCAAATAGTTTTCTCTTTTCTCCTTAAGACATTGAAATAATCTTGACAAATGTAACTCCTCAAAATATATATCATTCGCTAAATAATATCTTATATTTTATGGAGTTTTATTATTTGAATATTACACAATATGAGCACGTCCTTCCATAATATCGTTAAACATGTTGGATTAGTTTAGCACGTTAATGTCATTGTTTGAACATGCAATACCAAAAAAATGCATGTCAAACCACAAGTCTTATGATGTTACTACTTCAAGCATGATTATAAGTTTACCATGATCACCCCAACATACTTAGAAATCCATGTCATTCTCCCATTTGTAAAAAGATGTTCATCATTGTTGTCAGACTTTCTCAAAAAACTCAATCTCAAATACCTCATTCACGCCCCTTACAAATCTCTCTAAGAAATCAAGTATAGTGCTTTCAACAATTCAAATATATTCATCTACAATGTCAACAGGAGATCCATATACCAACATACGAATAACAACAATGCATTTTTGTAATGGTGAAAGACCCATTTTACTAGTTGCATCAGGCCTCATTTGGAAATATTCATCATGATTTTCAAGGGTGGCTAGAATTCGAAGAAATATGTGTCTGTGCATTCCGAACCTTCTCCAGAATTGAGCATTTGTGTATACTAGATTTTTCGAGAAATAGTCATCGAATAATCTTTTATGTTTTTCTTCACAACTTCGATCTATGATTGTTATTCTCATTGCCTAAAACAACTTTCAGATTGATGTTTTTTCTCGAGCGTTCGACACTAGTAGTTTTCATTTTGTGTTGTCCATGAATCTCTCTTCAATCAAGTCTCAAAAGAGTTTGTTAAAATCATTTGAATAATTTGAATCCATTAAAGTGAGAGAAGAATGAAAGAAGAATGAGAGAAGGGCAAGAGAAGAGTGTGAGAAAAGTGAGAGACAAATAGGAGGAGAATGATAGTAAATATAATGTTGTATGAATAACAACTAGTTTCAATATCGATTAGTTTGAATATCAACTATTTATTATGAATTAAAGTGAAATAATACTATAACATTTCATATTAACTGAAATCCATGTTTTTTTCAAACTTATTACAATATTTTTGGCGAAGTTTCATATTAACTGAAATCCATGTTTCTTTCAATTTATTACAATATTTTTGGTGAAGTTTCATATTAACTGAAATCCATGTTTTTTTCAATTTATTACAGTATTTTTTGATGAACTTCACCTTGACTATCATTCATACAAAATGCATTGCTTTAAACATTATCTTTTCCCTGTTCAATATGTTTTCTTCCTCCTTAAATTGTACTATTATAAATATTGATTAAAAATGACTTGAATTTCCTGATTCCAAATGTGACAATGACACATCATCAAGTAATTTGTCATGTCATTAAGACACCTTTAAACATATTCCCTTTTTTTTATACTTCCTCTTACACAACAAAAATTCATGATAGCTCAACATCACAAATGAATAGATGCCATCAAAGGGAAAGAGCTCATTAGACCATTTGAACATGCAAATCACAGCCTTTAGAGAGCCTGATGTTGCTAATGTTATCCCCATGGATGATGATCTCCATAACTAACTTGAGTTCCCACCAGAAAGAGCCAAATGCAATTTGATGCCAAAATTTCAATATGCTACATATAAGGAAGAGATCTAGAAAGCCTCTGACAGATAAGCTCCCTTGATGGACAAGACGAAATAAGTTTACAAGCCCAGAAACATTATTCAGCCTTCCTTTTCCGATTGTCTGTTGAGGCGGCAACAGATTGAGCCTGACCAAAAACAGAGCTGCAAAACGGACATAGAGACAATAACCAACAATGGCAAATGATAACATGGTAAGAGATATTTACTAAGAGATACAGTTCAGTATCAAGTAACCACTTCCATTCAAAGTTTAAGATCTCAATAATTGTTACAATCCTGAATGGCCATTCAATGTTTGAGATCTCAATGATTGTTACAATCCTGAACGGCCGAAGCCAATCATAGTTTGGTCACTCATGATTCCATCCATGTGCATTCCCATTAGTGTTCTCTATTTTAGTTAACATTCTACAGTTGCAAAATGTGAAAGGAATACAAGGTTGTCCAAAATATAACTGAAAACTTTGTACTAATTAGTAGGCACTCTTAAACTAGATACATAGAGGAAATTTGCAATTCGTATTAAATAGAAGTCTCATAATTAGTTAACTGAAGAATACAATTGAAAGATGGAAATTTCTGTAAAAGTTGAACTGATTACAACAATTTACAGATAATGAACATTTAAATTCATTTGATGCATCATAAATGGTGAAGCTTATGGAAACAGACATTACAAATAGAATTATAAATTTTAGAAAAACAAACACTTACCTACACGTTGAACACTTGTCGTGATGCTCACAGAATATGGATAAGCATACAGAACATACATAGCCCGTGTCGATTGTTTTCTTATGGCAGAAACACCTGAACATTTCATACAATTATTCAAAAGTGAGGGTCTTGTAGTTTCTATTGCAAACAGAAGAAAATTCACCATACAAAAAGAGGTTGGTGCCCTCGGGTATATTTAGAGAATTAAGGCTTTAAAAGTCTTGTTATAGTAGGTGATGATAAATATATTTCATAATGGTCAACCACGGGTTACATAAAGAGACTTCCTAAGACAAATGTCATTTTGTCTCAAAAATACACAATTTGATATCTTCACCGTGTAGAAGCAATGTAGAGAACAGAACCATAAAAAATGTGTATTTTCAAACCAACATAAATTTTAAAGGGAATAAGAAAATATCAATTGAACAAAACGATAAACAAGTTTGATGATAGCTAAGCTGTAGTCAATGCTTCCAGCTTTACACGAGGGTTGGAGAAATAGAGAGGGAAAATAAAAATGAGAACTCAAACAAGAAACGTTTAACAGCAAAGGAATAACTTACGAGGCACGAAAATCCACACCCAGAGATTTAGGAAGCCTTAAAAATGCACGAGAATGCAAATCAGTTGCAAACACTGCCTACATAAATAAGGTCACATTAGTGTCAGAAGTAAAACAAAAGGTAAAATTGCAAATGCAATACAAATAACCAGATCTCGATAAACAAAAAAAAAACAAAAAAACTAGCATTTGTTTATCCATTCAATTTTATATGAATATCTGTCAGAGGCCAGGCATTGAAGTTTTTAAGTAGCATATAATGGTTTATCATATTGTTTTGCTTTTGCATATATGCTAAATTACTTGGTTGCATTGTTGCTTAATATGACCAGAATAGCAAATAATAGTTTCTTTCTCTTCTACATAGTACATACAGAAAAGAACCAAATGGTTTCAAATGCTTTTTCTTACATTTTATGTTGTGCCAAAAAGGATTCAAGCAGACTGTTTGTACCATATAACATACCAACTTATCTTGAAGTGCAACCATGAAAGAACAAGCTCAAACCCCACACACCAGTAACTGAAAAATGGTAGTCAATCCCAAATAGCGGCTGACCCCAAAAGTAGGATAGTGGGATAGCATATAGCGGGATGACCACTATTTGATCATATTTTAGACAAATTACATGAATAACTATAAACACATTTAATATAAAATTAAACAAATAATTCAAAACCCATAAAAGATTCATAAATCAAATCACAGGGCTGCAAAGAAGAAAAAATGGAACAATGCGAATACAAGAAAAAGAAAAACAGAGGAAAGAAAAAAGAAAAACAGAGCAACAATGGATATAAAGCAAGAAACGGAGAGGAAAGAGAGAAGAAAAAGTTAGAACCAACCTGAAGAAAAAGTGAATAAAAGAAAGAAACTAAGAAGAAAAAACAACCATAAGAAAAAGAAATGATGGATGCAGACCGAAGAGCAGAGTGAGGAATGACGGTGACGGCGGCTGCAGAACGAAGAGCAGAAGGAAGAACGAGGACAGCTGTTGCAGCTTTAGAACGAATTGCATAGAGGAGCGAAATGTTACACATGATTTGTGTGCTGGAACTGCCGAAGAAAAAAACAAAGTGCAGAAATGATGGATGAAGGGAGGTTAGGGTTGAATAGGAACTCAAATTTGATGGGAAAACACAAATTTACACTAAGGTTTTAAATTTAAGGGGTAATTTCAGATTTTCAAAGGGGTAAAAGATAGTGGGCCAGAAACTGCTCCGCTCCCGCTCCCTGCTATTTGCCCTATTGTGGCCGCTACTCTGTTCTGCACCGATAAGGCTCTTCTCATAGCAACCGGTCTCCACTCTGCTATCCCGCTATAGTGCCACTATTAACTAAACAAAACGTCCCTCTTAAAGTATTCAATAGGGATTTGACAAAAAAACTGATGACATATTTGTTGATTAGCTGCTAGGTTCATTATCGACTTTAAACTAATGCTATGTCAAACAACATATAGGGAAGGAAGACACGTCGTAGCACTAAAAAAAATACATTTCATTCATTTTCTTGTGTGTATTCTAAAGGCATTCAGGTTGATAACCTTTTATAATGACAGCATTGTAAATTAATTATGAACTACTGAAAGCTTGATAAGAAGTTTTCACCACCTTAAAGCTAAGTGTGAGGTGGCCCTGTCATTATCTCATATACTCTAGTGATGGATATTAACTAAGACTTGGGTTTGTGAAGAGATAACACTAGTCTCAGCACTATATATTTAGTCTTGCACTGCCATTGGGGTTTATATACCACAAATTGTTTTGAAGTCTAATGTTATATGCAGTAACTAGTTCCGAAAAACTGAATTATAAGCTTTCAGTAGTATAGGATTAAAAAAAATGGCTTATTCATACTCTGGTCGAAGAAAATGAAGGCTAACACAGCTATATAAATATGGTGTTCAGATAAATAGAGAGAATTCGATGAATGTTAATATTAACTGTCAACCACAGTAATTTAGTAATATATAGTATTTAGTTAATTATCAGGTCGCTGATAATGAGATGACAAATGTATTCAAGTCCTAGTATAGGATTTCAGCATAGTGATACACTTCTATCCCTCTCAATTTATAGTCCACTTTTCGTCCTCCAACTACACATAGGCAGCTAATTAATTGAAATATATAAGCAAAAAAATAAACTATATTGCAAATCGCACCATAGCCTCAAAACAGCCAAATGAGCCAAATAAAACACAAACTTACTGAAAGATATTGAAAAAGCCCATCCAATTGGGGAGGCTTATAATATATGCCACCGGTTATATATGAAGCCTGACATTCATACATAAAATAGAGAGAAATGACAAGAGTCAATAAATCGTAATCTGCAATACCAACTCATAAAATGCGTGGGTGTGCTTAATTAACTACCTGCTGAAGGAATGCAGAATTGCCTGAATTGCTTGAATCAATAAAACAAGAATCTACAGGAACCTGCATTGCAAAAATATTACACAAAAGAACTGGCTAACATAAAAACACAGGACACCCTTATGTGTTATTATTATATATAGACTTGTAATGTTTTAGTCTTGCTACCTAACAGTATGCACACAAGTAAGAGGCAAGGGTAAAGACCAATCATAAAGGAACAAAGAAAGAAAAAGTGAAGATTCAGTACATACTGAAGAACGCTGAGCAGAGAATATTGCATTCATGATTGCCACGTATCTGAAAAAGATGGAAAGTGTGATTTGAAGTGAAATGGCAATACAAAAATTAAAAGTGTAAAATGTAAAGATCATGAGGTAGGTACTGTTCAGGCCCATCGGGAGATCCTTGCAGACATAGAATCTGTTACAAATAAGTATACAAGGAAACAAAGTAACTATCCAAATCTGTAAATTAGAAATGAAATGGTAAACAAAGGAAACGAAAATAAAAGTGCAAGAAAAAAAGGAAGAATAGCTGGAAAAACCAACAGAATGTTGATTTCTATAAAAGAAAAAAAGCAACTGCATGCATATCAATCATAAAAACAAAGATGGCCAATCATATAAGTCAACTTCCAGGAAATTGTTTACAAATCTCGTAATTCAAATCCGACTAGATGTCAATGACCATTTATAACATAGAGCTTCCAAATCAACTTTGACCACAAAACAGTTGTTAAGAACTTTAAATCTTTATTCGCGTCTATTGTCACAAACAGGTGAAAGTAAACGACCCATAGATACGAGGCTGAACACAACACATGGCATCATATAATCGAGTTCAAAAAACCATTGCTTATAAGGAACATGTTCTAAAAAAACCCAAAATGCCACAATATCAACTTTCATTCAACACACTGCACCTGAACAATGAACATCATTTTCGCAATAGCCACTCACCTCTAATATCACTACTATCAACCTCATGGTTTTAAATTGCGGTCCCCAACCGCAATTGCGGCCGCAATATTGCTGATGCGGTAGCCTCCGCATCCGCATCGGACCACAATTGCATTGTGATTTTAAAACCACACGTCCGGACCATTATGAATACCTCAAGACATTTCCATCCTATTTTCTTCAAGTATTTTCATCAAAACTCATAATTTTAGAATCCCAAAACTCAATTTACTTCATATGTAATAAAAAATCATAACATTAAATGTTTTTCAACATTTTGTTTAGAACTCCTCTCAATCAAAATTCACGCCGCAACTGCCGCAATACGCATCGCAGCAACCGCAATTTAAAACCATGATCAAACCACTAGGACCCACATGACACAAGAAAATACAAAATCCAATCATAGTTGACTAACATCTCTAACTACAACTTATCACATTCAAGTGTAGTATAAAATAAAATTCCATATAATAACAAATACATGATTAGCCAAGAGCATAAACACACCCGAGGTTGAGGATGCATTGGTCCCGATCGAAAAGCTCTCTGTATGTCTGATAACCAAATCAGGTCAAACAAAAATCTTAATCACCATTAACACATTCGAGATTCAAATTCAAAATCACTCATCATTCAATTCCCTCAACAACAACAACAAAAACAAAAGTTCCCAATGACAAGCAATAATATACAAATTGAAAACCCTAAACATTAAAAGAAGGCAATTGCATGAGAAAAAGGATACAGCAGAGGGCCTTTGACAATGATCCAGATAAGAGTGAAGAAGGAACGGTTCCTGGTTCATGAGCCGTCGTTAATTGCTTATCGTTAGCTATGAATTCGTCGAGATTGTGAAGAAGATTGGAATAAAGTGCAGGCATTGTGCCGTTAGTGGAAACATGGTTCTTATTAGAAGATGAATCGTAAACGTAGGAGCATGAGTTGCAACCGGTGGCAATAACTACGACTTGGTTGAGTTGGCCGAGGAGGAGAATAGAATTGAGAAAAGCGAGAACCTGAAATGAAAAACAAAATGAAATTGGGATAATGAATGAGAGAGTGTTGTTGTTGTTGTTGTTACTTACTTGAGAGAGGAAGTCGGAGAAATGGGAGGGGAAATCGGACCAGAAAAAAGGGTTGGTGTCGAGTGTGACGACGAGGAGGCTGACGTCATCTGCAATGGAAGGAAGATGGGTTAGTGATTAGTGTTGGAATGGGGGGTTGTGCGTTAGGGATGGGGGGAACCTGTGTACTGTTTTGAAGGAGCGGAAGGCATTGCGTCGGCTTTCACTACAACAATGGCACCACGGCACAGCGCAGGACAATGAGTAATAAGCAAGGCAGCAGTAATAAAGACGCAAGTTCTCAATTTATGTAATTACAGATTTTTATATACTTTTTTATGGCGGAGATGTAAAAAGAATAGCACTAAGATTCACTAAAATTACTCAATTTCTGGTTTGTGTTTTACAAACTGAATCAAAGAGAATAAAATTATATTGAGTTACAACTCTAATTTCTCTTATATCTTAATTTTACAATTACAACGATTTTTTTTTTCCTTATATTTAGGATATCAATTTCATCGTTTTCAAATCTCTCTTAATAGTAGCGTGCCTTCTTTGTCCGATAATATTACATCTTCTTCTTTAATCTTTACTCTTTTATATTCTTGCTTTTTCCCCTTCTCACAGTCTGTTACAATTTTATTTTTATCGCACCTCTTATTCTCTTCTCTCTTATATTCTTTCTTTTTAATCTCTCATCACCTCTATTTTTTTGTTTCATTATGATGTTTTTTATATTGTTTTATGTTTATTATTCCACTTTTGCCTAATCTAGTTTTTACATGTTAAATAGGAAGTTGTTGTCCAAATATGATGAGTTTTGTTTTTATTTAGTAGTGTATGAATGCCTAAATACAAATTTATGTTGTCATATACATATGTATGTATGACTCAATAAATTTTTTGTAAAAATCTGAATCAACCAAACCAAACTGCATTGGTTTTGTTTGGTTCGGTTTTATTTCTAAAAGGCAACCGAGCCAAACCAAATCGCATATTTTTTCTCTTGCGGTTTGGATAACTTGTAACATCAAAACTGCACCGCGAGCACCCCTGATTGTATGACTCGGAAAATGAGGGAGTTTTGTTAACTTTGTGTTGTCAGCATAATTATAAATGTTTATGGTTAGAACCAGATAATATAGATCAATGTCAAATCTTTTATTTATTGTTGTTGAGAGAGTAAATACCTATTTATGTTTGGTTTAGGGTTGGTATTGTGACTTATAATTGTGAATGGCTATTGGGAATGTCTCCTGCATAATGAGTGGGAGCATGGGACGACTCCTTTTTCTTTCTTGCTAGGGCGTCCATATTTGGATGTTAGAGCATATTGGATTAGGGGAGCTCATGGCGGGTCAAATATCTCTCTATGCAAAAGTGATTATCTTATGGTAAATGATGTATTGACATGTTGGGATGAGTATTTGGTATTAGGGATGAAGTTCATGTCCATATGTGGTTGGGTTTATGACATTCTAGCCTTGTATTTGTCTACACTCATAAGCATGGGGCATGCAAAGGTGTGATGCTTAAGAGAATTATTTCGAACCATCATCCACAAGCAGGAGGTATGTAAAGGTGAAATGCTTAAGTAAGGTTGTTATGGTTTTGATGTGTTGTGTTTTATTTCGTGAGTTCAATGGTTACGTAGAATCAATAGTGTTTCTTCAGCAGCAAGGCTAAATTTTACTTTCTAATAGGTTATAATTATGAACTTTGTATATGCCTTTTAATTTTAATTGACGTTATGCATGCATTCACTTGATCTTTTTGTGTTTACCCGCCCTTTGTGTTGTTTCTTGAACTGATGTGATCAATGTGTTTGACTATAGGTTTTTGCCTAGTGTGATGTGTGAATTCATTATTTTCGAAGATTTTCAATTTTTGGTGCATCCATAAATATTATATTTTTTTCACTTTGTTTCACATTCACTCTCTTATATTTTTGTTTGGCTTTTACTTATATTATATTATATGTGCCAGTATCTGGTGAATACTTCGAAGTTCTTTGTTTATTATTCTGTTGGGTAAGAATATGAAGTAAGAAAATAGTCAAAAGGAGGGTGAATGGACCAAAAAAAATCTTTCACTGATTTTTCAAAAATTGAGTATCATAAGCTTTTCAAAATTGTGCGCAGAAGGTTTAAAACGAAAATATGAATATTATACTTTTGTTGGCACTTGATCACGTTAAAACTTAACCAATTCACAAATACTAAAGATGGTTTTATGATGATACATAAAAGGTAATCAATTGATTCAGTTGTATAATTCACGACGTCTGTTTATACAATGATTCAAGATACTGAATTTGAACCTCAACGGTTTCTCATAATTTAATCACCATTAAAGCTCGATTAGACACCAATTCTAAAAAAAACTTAACATTACGTAATATATTGCTACCAACTGAATAAACAATAAACTACAATAAGAATTGAAAAACCTAAGTATGTTATATCCTACAAATATTAAATATGAGAGAGAGAGAGAGAGAGAGAGAGAGAGAGAGAGAGTACTATGGGATTTATAGTGCTTCCTGCACTCTTAAGTGGTTTTCAATTGGAACTTGTTGTGTTCCTTTTTATTTTGACAAATATTACAAGAGTTCATACAATCACCAATTCACAATAATGATGAGAAAAATGAATCTCCTATCTGGATATTGACTTGTATACAACATAAAACTCTTATGCATAATCTTTACTTGATTCACGCTTCATGAATCTTCTAACTTTACCAATCTGATATAAGCCTTCGTGTGTAGTAATCACCCATTGATCCTACTGATTCCTTGAGAGATGAACTATCTAAATGTTTGAGAAGAACTTAATCTTGTCTGTAGCCTTCTGATTCAAATCAAGAACAAAGTTTGAGTAAAATGAACAAGTGAAGTGGAATAAAAAAGCAAAAGGATTTTGACCTATTCCCCATCTGATTCAAATCAAGAACAAAGTTTGATTCGAGTTAGAAAGCTTGTTATTTGAATCAAGTTTACACACTTATTCAAATCAATTTAAATAGGGCCAAAGGAGAAATGCAAAAACAGTGTGATTCAAATCAGGGGTAAAGTCTGATTCGAATTAAATGAAGTAAAGGTGACCCAGATCAGTTTGATTCCAATCAATTGTAAAGTTTGAATCGAATCAACTGTAAAGTTTTATTTGAATCTCAAAGTTGCCTGATTTGAATCAAGTTAAAGTCGGATTCGAATCAAAGTGTTTGCAAAATTTTGATTTTCCTCTACTCAATTTGATTAGAGTCAGAAATGTACATGATTCAAATTATGCATACAAAATCTCAATGATTTTCAAATTACTTAGAGATTTTTCTTTCCGCATAACTTGATTCTTATTCCACTAACTAGTGAAATTGACTAAAAGCATCATGATCAAACTCAAATATACCCCTTGGTTTGTGCATGCTAAAAATGAATCGACTCAAACATGATTCAGAGATGATGTGTAATTATGAAAGAGACCCAATAAACAAAAGTAAATGAAAACGAAAGCGATAAGACAAATAACAAAACCAATGTATTGGGGTTCTCCCCTTGAAAGTATTAGTAACATGCAACTTTATTCTCCCCTAGGGATATACAACTTCAGTCTCCCCCTAGGGATATGTAGCTCCAGTCTCCCTCTTTTTGATGTTTGAAAGACTTTCAATTGAAATTTAGTGGACTTTGAGCCAAATGCAAAATGATTTTTTGCTCCCCCTAAAACAATGCACACAAACCATAGCATAAAATGCATAAAACAAATCTATATTCACATTACAACTTCTGCCCCTTTGGTAACATATGAGTTAAACAGCTAAGTTTAAAAACCAACCACCAACCACAAACAAATAACTCTAGAGGAACATATGAGCCAAATAACTAAGATGGATATACAACAACAAAGATCAGATACAAAACACGAATATAGACATGTTACATGTAACAATTTCTAAATTATGATTTAAAACTTGCACTAGTACTATATCATACTTAATCGAAATGCAAACAGGTTTTAAATCATAATCTAGTAGTTGTTGCTTTAGCCATAAGACTTGTGCATAATAACTACAAGCGACTACATATTCAACATCAACGGTAGAAAGAGAAATACTATGTTGCTTTTTACTGTGCCCATAAACTAAACAACTTTCAAATACATGAAAGATACCACTAGTGCTTTTCCTATTCGACTTCCACCCTGTGAAATTTGAATAAAAAAACCTACTAAGTTACAAGAACTACCTTTAGGATACCAAATACCGTGTTTGGAGGTTCCGTTAAGATACCTCAAAATACGTTTTACGATATTAAAATGGGATTTCTTAGGTGATGTTTGATATCTAGCACACATGCACACGTAAAACATGATATTTGGCATACTAGCTGTTAAATAGAGTAAGGGTCTGATTATCTCTATACCTAGTAATGTCAAAGTCCATTCCTTTCTCATCTTTGTCAATTATCACAATTGAAGCTACGGATGTTGAGATACTATTTCAATTATTCATATCAAACTTCTAGAGAAGTTATAAGCAGTATTTTTTTTACTTATGAAAGTGCCTTCTTTGGATTGCTTGATTTGTAATCCTAGGAAATATGTCAAATCTCTCATGAGAGACATCTCAAATCCTCTCTGCATCAAATGTCATATGGTACCATATGGTCAAGAGAGACTCTGAATGGCACGACTGCACGATTCCTTTTATACATAACAAAAGCACGAGACCAATCCTTTATGTAATCATGTACAATTTCCCACCCGGTGATGTGAGGGAAATGGGAGATGATTCATCCCTAAAAATATTGTGAATACAATATTAATAACAAGTGTAATAAATAAATATGAAAATAATAGTAACAAGAAATTACCGTAAGCGTTGTCTAATACCCTGTAATACCCTACTTTTTACCCCTAAGATCCCACATGTCACTTGCATCTCATACCACAAACAAGATTACAAGCTTTGATTCTCTTGCCTTCCTTTGTAGGTTTGTTCTCTTTACTAATTTTTTCAGAAAGAATTTGGATCAAGAATATCAAATAACAGTTTCTCAGCTCAAATGAATTCATCTGAACAAAGTCAAAGTTGATCTGCAAACAATTTAAAATCATCTGGTCAAGGGTTTCCCAAGACTTGATTGACTATTATTCAAGAGACTCCAAGGTTCATGTGTTTATTTCCATGCCTTCTTTGACAAGTCAAA